ACACCCGCTTTGAACAAGACGTCCACGCGTCAGCCGTAACGCGTCGCGCCGACAGGGAACCTGTCCATGTTCCCCGGATCAGCAATCAGCCCTCGGCGTCCAGAGCGCACCTTGGCGGTGTCGCTGGGCCACGAGTCGCAGAATGTCGGCACAGGCAACTGGCCCTTGCGCATCCCCCAACTAGGCGGAAGGCCAATCAACAATGTTGTGCGAGCAGGGCGACGGGCCAGCGATGGCGGTGTTTCCCGACAGTAGGGGCGGTGCGCGAGCAGGACGACGGGCCAGCGATGGCGCAGCACTCTTTTCAGTTGTCGTCTACTCCTGGCTCCCAGCGTCATGCAAGAAACGAAAACAAAAATTGAAAACCGCGCGGCAAAATTTGGGGGGGCGGGGGCGGGCTGGAGGAGGAATAGGGTCCAACGTGTTGGGCTTTCAGTTGGCCTCTGGCCCSCCCCCCCCCCCCCAAACGGATGTGCAAGCCGGTAGCGCGAGCCCGGGCCAAAATCCCTGTTCAAGGCCAGCCGCCCAACTGAAGTAGGGATTTTTGCCCGGCCTGGAGCAGGGATTTTAGCCCGGCCTCGCGATACCGGCCTGCACACACGGCGGGTGGGGGGGGCCAGGGGCCAACTGAAAGTCCAACCCGTTGGACCCTATTCCTCCCCCGGCCCGCCCCCGCCTCCCCAAATTTTGCCACGCGGTTTTCAATTTTTGTTTTCATTTCTTGCATGACGCTGGGAGCCAGGAGTAGACGACAACCGAAAAGAGTGCTGGCCCTGCTCGCGCGGGAAACAGCGCCATTGCTGGCACGTCGTCCTGCTCTCGCACCGCCCCTGCTATCGGGGAACAAACACACGTCGCCGGTTGTCCGATGCTCGCGCTCCGTCCCCGCACACGTGGAACTCACGACCGTCATCGGCGCTGTGTTCCGCCACCCCGAAACGCACCGCAGCAGAGGGCTCAGGGGGGCCAGTGGCGCCGTAATCACGCGTGTGTCCCGCTCCTTCGCGAACCGGGCAGCCGCCCTCACGCGGAGCACGTGGCAGCAGAAGCACAGTTCAGGACGCAGCGCACACGGAGCATCGAAAGATCGGCGCGTGTTCGCCACTCCCTAGTATGGTTGGCAGCAAGAACGTTTCACCCCATCCCCAGGCCTTGCAATTTTTTCTCGTCCACGCCATCCCCTGATGACACACGGCACCCACAGCGTTGTTGATCACCCTTCGCTCGGTACCCACAGCGTTCTCCTCCTCTCCCCTGTTCTGTCTCGCCGCACGGTACCCACAGCGTTGTTCATTAACCTTCGCACGCAATGACTTCGTTAGCACGACCCTCACCACGGGCCCTTAAAGCTGCGCGCCCGAATCTTTCCATGTTGATGGACTGATCGATCGAGTGTTTGATTGCTTGATTCATTGAGCGATTGATTGTTTGATTGTTCCGTTGATTGGTTGATTGGTTGATTG